TTGTCGGTCTCGTACATGTCCTCGGGTTCCTCCTGTGGCGCATCCGCTTCTGGTTGATGAATGACCGAGGCCTGCGCGTCCAGCGTTAAATGGTAAAAGTGGTGGATGCGCAACAATTCCTCGTGGACGCAATCATTGACCACCGCTTTAAACCCGTTGCGGACAAACCACCAGACTCCCGCATAGACCATCATGGTCACCATACCTGCGACAAGCACTCCGCAAGACCAAGCAAACCGAACCGTCGGTGGAAATTGGGATGCTACCCAATAACCCGCCAGAGCGACCAAAGGCAAAATCATGCCCCATAGAAGAGTGGCGCGTGGTTGTCGAACCATATTGCTCACTGAGCGGTCTCGCACCGTGGCCATGTGGGTGGTATAGAGACGGACCAGTTGTGTGCGGTCATGGTCATTTAACGGTCGAACGGCGTATCCTGTTGGAACCTTTTGGTGTCGTTGCGTTGCAGACCCTCCCATGCGACCCTTCTCTCTTCCCATTCCCCCAATGTTCACGCCAATCTGCTTGTAATGTCTCGTCTAAACCTGTCCAAGGACAAGCAACAGAACACTCCCAATTTGTCATGTGCATTCGTTATGTTGCTCAAGTTTAGGACAGAAGGCTACAACGGATACTCGGTGAGTGAATGGTCTGCATGACTCGGTGACTGACGGGTGGGTAGTTGCAATGGAGTCCTTTCTATGAAAACAAGCTGGCTGTTGTGTCTGCGGCCAACTATGGGCTGGTGGGGAATGGACGACTCTATATTCTGAGGACCGGACAAGGACCGGCGGGCATAGAGTGTGAACGATTGCAAGTAGTCTTATGAGGAGCGAATGTCTCGGCGCGCTTACCTTTTGCCTTCTAGTTTTGATACGCAAGATGGTCTATTTGATGTGGCCTGGAGCGAGGTGAATGAGCATCAATTGGTCACGGCCAGTGGGGATGGATCCATCAAGCTCTGGGATGCCACCTTGGCCGTAAGTGTGGACGGATCATTGCACAGTTTTGGCTGAACATGCTGGTATATAGGATTTCCCCATACAACAGTGGCAAGAGCATCAGCGCGAAGTCTTTTCCGTCAATTGGAACATGGTCACCAAGGACAGCTTCCTAAGTGGATCCTGGGATCATACCATCAAATTGGCAAGTCGAAACTCTGACAATTCGGGGATAGGGATAGATGTGGGGCTAACCTGACGTGCAGTGGAATCCCTTGGCATCCAAATCACTCGTCACCTTCGCCGAGCATACTCATTGCGTCTACAATGCCACCTGGTGCCCACATGCGCCTCACGTCTTTGCCTCGGCCTCGGGAGATCAAACAATCAAGATATGGGACGCGAATCAACACAAGAGTGTCCAGACCATCCACGCTCACAATAACGAGATTCTCTCGCTCGACTGGTCGAAATACCAAGACAATACCCTCGTCACCGGATCCGTCGATCAAACCATCAAAGTCTGGGACCTGCGACGACCCGACCGAGAATTGGCCTGTCTTCGAGGTCACGAATACGCCGTACGTCGCGTTGTCTGTTCACCGCACATGGGCAATATCGTCGCCTCGGCCAGTTATGACATGTCGATGCGATTGTGGGATATTCCGAGCGCTAGCATGATTCATGTGCACGATCTCCACACTGAATTCGTCCTGGGACTAGACTTTAACCTCTATGTACAAGGTCAAATGGCTACGTGTGGCTGGGATGAGATGATTCATGTCTTTATTCCACCCGCCTTGACATAAAAGCACCGTTTGCAGAGTGGGATTAATTTAGTGGTTCACGAGGGATGGAGTGGTCGACGGTCATCTACGCTGCACTTGCACTGGTGCTCACGCTAGTTTGTGGGGTGAGTGGAGTGGGGTGCGGGAGACGTGGTCCTGTAACGGTTTCTCATGCACGTGCAGCTCCTGGCGGTGGTCATTGCCTTTACACCTCATGCACGACCTCCCATCCCATCCGAACAGTGCTATACAAGCAACCGCTCACGGAAACCACAGCCACTTCCATCGATCCATGATGCGCCTACTTGCAATCTGACGCTGGTGGTCCCGGCATATAATGAACGGGAGCGATTACCGAACATGCTCAAGGAAAGCATTCAGTTTTTGCAAACCAAGGGCATGACCTATGAAGTCTTGGTGGTGGATGATGGCAGTCGAGATGGGACGACGGAGGTGGCGCTACAGGTCGCCAAGGAATGGCCAGAGATTGATCTCAAGGTCTTGACGCTCAAGCAGAATCGAGGAAAGGGTGGTGCCGTGACCAGGGTAGGTGGAGGGTGTCTCTAAACGTGCACAGGCATTCTAATGATTGGGGACCAGGGCATGTTGCACGCTTCGGGTGAACGCATACTGATGGTGGATGCCGACGGTGCCACGCGATTTTCTGATCTGGATCTCTTGCTCAAAACCTGCGACGAGATTGAAAAGGACGGATATGCGGTGGTGGTCGGATCACGGGCTCATTTGGTCAAGACGGAGGCGGTGGTCAAACGATCCTTTATTCGCAATCTGCTCATGTATGGATTCCATTCACTCGTCTACTTTTTGGGGATCCGGTCCATTGCCGATACCCAATGCGGATTCAAGCTGTTTACGCGGAAATCAGCGTACAAGATTTTCGAGTCGATGCATGTCGAGCGCTGGATCTTTGATATCGAAGTCTTGCTGATTGCTTCCATGTGCCATATGCCCGTCAAGGAAGTCTCGGTAGGATGGCATGAAGTAGACGGCAGCAAGATTAGCCTGGTTGCTGATAGCGTTCGCATGGCCATTGATTTGCTGGTGATCAGAGTCAATTGGATGTTGGGTTGGTGGACATTGCAAGACTCTGCACCGATAACGAATGGCAAGACCCGGAGGCGTTGATGGTGTCTAGGTGTGGAGCTGATATAGAATGTGTCTATCGATAGACTGCAGACTGTGGGCAGTGCTTAGCTGTAGACTCCCAACTGTGCGCGCCATGTTCAGCTATAGAATGTAGACGCATAGATGCAATTGCATCATATGTGGCCTTATGGCCTTCCGTGACAGGGAAAGGTTAGAAGGGCGTCTCGTTTAATATATGCTGAACGACACCCCATCCACCGACGCCCTGGTATTTGCGCTTGACGATAATGTCGGTATGTCCATCGCCGATGCCGGACCACGGCTGCTCTAGCCAGAGGAGCGTTTTGCGAATTTCTAGATCCGAGTGATAGTTCTTGGCAATGGTTTCCTCAATGGACCGGGGGGATATGTCTAGGTCGCCGGGTGAATAGAGTTTGGTATAGAGAAGTGGAATGCTTGGAGTGGTGTAGACGCTGTCGGGTAGGGGTGGCTGGGATAGCAAGTCTTTGAGACGTGAGACGCCGGCCAGTGTGAGTGGAAAGGGTAAACGGCTGGTGGAAGGATCTTGTAGTGTGTCAAGCAGCGAGGGCTGCTCCTCACCAAGCGGGCTCGCAGGACCTGTGGTCTCGTTCGCATCCACAGTGGACACACTCGGCCTACCGGCACCTGTATTGATCTTGTTTTGCCATAGACTGGCACTCTGCGGTCCCACCGCGAAATCATTGACCATGTTGGCATACAAGGTGACGCGCTGGAAACGAGCGAGCGCACGATGGGTCCACGAGTCTGGCGAGGACATTGTGAGGAGCAATGGCTCCGAGTTGATATAGGCATTTTTGGCGTCACCCTGAACGGTAGGAGGAACCGTGCGTGGAACAAGACCGAGATCTTTGCCGGCTTGCCCGACAAGTCCTCTTTCGAGCGCTTTGCGTACAATCCAAGGCGCTTCTCTGCTCCCACACCATGGTGTCGCCAAGGTGATGAAATTTGCAAGGGTCAGCTGGGAGAGAAGCTTGGGTCGAGTGGCGAACAGGAGACCAATGAGGTAGAGATTGACCAATCCACCCAAGGAATGGCCAATTAAGGACAATTTGCCTGGCATGCCCTTGCCGAGAAAAGAAACGAGGTCGTTGGCAATGCGCTCTGCTGCTACATCAATGCCGTCTTCTGTCATGCAATGATTCACGTCGCTCGTCCATACCACTACCCTGGTCCCATGCATTTTTTCAATCGCTTGCTTGAGATAGAGGAGATCCGTTCTAGAGCCATATAGACCGTGGGTTAAAATGACGAGATGCATGCCAGGATGTGGGCCGACGTGAAAGAGGTGGTCGGTCATGTCTAAGTGCGTATCGACATGTATCTCGGCAGTTTCTGCATCTGAGGCCGTCAACTGCAGAGTATAGTCGACGAAATTGTGCTGAAACATGCAATCTGAAAAGACGTCGACTTGGTAGACGAGTAATCCTGAAGCGTCGGTTGGGGCTTGGGATTCGGAGGCGTCCATTTGATGGGCTGAAGGCTGGGAGATGGAGACTTGATTGGCCCGTGATTCAGAAATCTCCACTTGATGGCCTAGGGGTGGGTGCAGCGCCTCGGCAATCTCGCCGCAGGCTAGTCGTTTGGAAAACAGTGGGATGGGATCTTTAGGCGTAGAGCAGGCGACCGACAAAGTATAGGGCCCCGTCAACAGCGCCGTCTTGTACATCACCGAGGTGCTATTCGCCACTAAAAGGCTCAAGAGAGGTAGAGGCGCACTGCTCGTGATTCTGAGGGTATACGAGTGGACATCGCCTGCCGCTACGGCCGAAGACGCTTGCCAGAGGACTTTGGTCTGAGCTGCATCCGTCGAGAGCGCTCGTTGCCAAATCTTGCGAGACGCAGTACGCATAAGTGAGGCGTGTAGGGTAGGGTTATGCTAAGCTTACCTTGGCAAAGCGACTCCACATGCCCGAGAGCAAGGTCGGAGGAAAAATAACGTTCGTCACGCGACCTCACTCGGATGCCAATGCAGGACGTGACAACATGGCCTAGAATCACACATTCACTCTTGCCCTGTCAAGAGTACCGTAGAGGGGCCAAAAACAAAAACCACTAGTAACGTTCTGACGCTCAACCACGTCTGGGATATCCTTTCCGGAGCTCACAATCTCTGAAAAATAAATGCTCCCAGGCGGGATCGAACCGCCGACCTTCGCGTGTCTCTAATATACTTTGTAGTATAAGCACGACGCATTAAACCACTTTGCTATGGGAGCGCGTTACGCAAAATATGCCATACAAAATATATAAACTTGCGTGCCAATCGACCTCCCTAAGCCCAGCACTGGCCGCCCAACTCCTGCAAGAAATACCAAGCCTTGAAATACGAGCTCCAACTTGTATGATCAGGAACAATGAGACAATGCATACTGTTGGGCATTCTCTCAATTGTTTCAATCATTTTACGTGACCAGGTACATGCGCTGTGGAGCGACCAAGCCCACATCTAGAGATCTTGGGAATTGAAACAGTCAATAAAGATCTTTTCCCAATCGACGCTGTTTCCTTCCCGAGAAATCTTCTGCCGCTGGAGAGGGATGGTGCGGTCATGTTTCTGGATGGCTCCATTGAAGGCAGCAATACGGCCTTGTATCCTGCGACCAAGTTTGATTGATGGAATTTGTCGGCAAACGGCATTAGGCATCGTATCGGAAAGGAATATCTGTTGCTTGGATGTTTTGACAGAAGGTCGGTCTCCCCACCCCTGCAGCGATAACGGATTGAGTTGGCGGGCAAATGTAAAATGATGTCCCAAAATTACTCCCAATCTCTAGCATTGTCGGTGGGCTCGGACCTGGATGCGCCCATTGTCATCATCCAGGATCAAGGAAAAGTGGCAGCCATTGTTCTCCGCCAGTTGCCGTTCTCGTCGGTACCCTCAGACCGCCAGAAAGATTGAACAAGGTTCTATTGGAGGCGTCAGAGGTATGGGTGATGACGGCAGTCGAAATGAATAAGCTATGGAAAAGCTTGAAGGGTGGAAGATCTGGAATTGGAGTGGCGACTCGGCCACTTGCATCCACGTCGAGCAACATTTCTTCAAGGTGTCGATAGAATGTCCAGAAGGTGCCTTAAAGCTGTCTGAAGTGGCTTAAAGTTATAAAGGTGTGCATGTAAGTGCTTAAGGTACTGGAAGGAACAAAGTGCTCAAAGGTGCTACACGGTCAAAAGATGTCGTATCTGTAGGCGTTTGGAGCACCTTCAGGCGACCAATGGTCTGATCCTGCCGCATTCATGACCATTAAATGATGGTGAGCAACTGCCCCTGGTCGACTCTGTGCTTTAGCGACGAGTACCCCGCACTCCGCCTAAAAAACAATCTGCACCAGTGGTGTAAAATAGGCGTGTATATCCAAGAGTCAAAATGTACAGTAAAGTATATGATACAATTTCGCCTACTCCTCTCTTCGCAATGCCTCCAACTCTCTTCTCAACGCAATATTCTCTCTTCGTAAGGCCTCATTCTCCTTGAGCGCCAACATGGTCTGCGTACGCAACAAGTTCATGCTCGACATCACATCCACCTTGCGAGGTTCATGTCGACCCATCAACTCTTCCAACAATTGTCGTTGTTGCATCGTTTGATGGTATAGGAGCTCCAGTTGAGGCATCACGTCAATCTCGGGCTTATGGGGCACCTCCATGGGTTCCATGTGGGATCGAGGAGACGCGGTAGGAGAAACGTCCCAGTGCTTGCCTTGTTCGCCAAAGACTTCAAAACGACCTCGCCGACGACACTCTACACCTAATTGCCCGGGCAGTCCCTCGCAATGACTCTCATCGACGATACCATTCACCATGGACTTGAGCATAACGGCCGAATGCTCGGGATTCGGTGGAATATTGCCGGCGCCATCCTTTTCGACAAAGAATCGTGAAGGTTTATGATGGTGCTCAAAGGTTGGATGAGGCGACGTGGATCGTGTTTCGGAGTGATCGGTCGCTTCGGTCGGCGCTTTTGATATGCTGTCAGCCGGTGTACCCAATCGTCCAATACCTAGGCCAGAACCACCCGGCACGCTTTCCGTCACGCTAAACCTGCCCTTGATGAGGCACTTTTCTTGTGGTGTTGCCAAGGATGGAGGTGGTGTAGGGGGTCGAGGATGAAGATACGACCGCGAGGGTACAGGCGAGCGTTCCTCCGCACCGGTGGTCGACGTGGAAGGTTCCTTCTCGTCAGCATGTGCATGGGCATTGGCATGATCCTCAACCACAAAACGAGATGGATGATTGGGCCGTGTAGGTTGCGATGTCGCCAGCGAAACATGGTCGTCGTGAGACGGATGAGGCTGGGGTGGCTCTGATGTTTCGGTCGTAGGTAACGATGGCGGGTTGGAACGAGAAGTTTGCCCAGTACTGGAGGGTATGGCCGGTGGAGGCGCAAAGGACACGTGAGCACTAGAGTCTGACGGAGGTTTGTCTTGTGCAGGCATCAGGTCGCGGCCACCGCTAAATGACCGCCTTACGCGATGGCCAAACTCTTTGAGTGAAGCAAAGTGAGAGTCTCGAGAGTTGTCAATATGGTCGACAGATGCTTCACTATCGCTGGCGGTTACAGAAGACGCATCTGAAGGAAAGGCCACACCAAACGGGTGACCCGCGTGGGAATAGTGAGGCTTTTCAGTGTATTCCAGCGGTGGATGCTGCGGTTGCTTTCCTCCAAAAGGGTGGATGCCCGTGTCCAGTGCCGCTGTCACGACAGGCATCAGCGACAAGAACGCCCAAGGCCCAATAAATACAAGAAAGAGCAGTCGATGGCCTATCTCGCCGGGAACAGGAAGGCCACATGATGGCAAAGATGGGGGTGAGTTCCAAAAGTCACGTGCAACTGACGTCAGTCATTGGTGCAAAAAGTTACATGGTTAATTGAGAATGAAATCGAGCGCGGCCTTGTTCCTTGGCCGGTCTCGTGGTATGGGAGAGGTCGAGGTGGGCGAAGGGGAGGGAGTGTGACGAGGCACAGGAGAGGGACGTGTCCAGGAGTCCTGTTGGTGGGGTGAGCGACTCTTTTTGCGCGGCTTCTTGTATCGATCATCGTGGTCCAGATCGACAGAGCTTTTTCGACGTTTTGGCGTTGCCGAGGGCGGTAGTCCTCCGAATGCCAATTGCTTAAAGCTAAGAGAAGGTGCTTGTAGAGCGGGGGAGGTAGACAGACGACGGCGCTGAGAGGGTTCAGGCGGGGGAGGCGTATGGTGGAGCGGCTCCGAAGGCGTCTTGTCCATCGTCTTCTCTTGCATGGACGCCGTTTCTTGGGTTATCCCTGAATCTGTCGCTTGTGCATCCACTTCCTGCTGTTGCGCTGGTGCCTTCAATTCCTGCAATTGCGGTCTTTCCTGCGAGCTTCGACGTGCGGGCTTTTGATCTTGCGAATAATGATTAGTTTGGTGGTTAAAGTAATCGGGTGTATATTCTGCATGCGATGGTAGGAGTTTGGCGGAATTAGTGGATGATATAGGGGGCGTGATGGGAGTGAGGAGGGCGGGGTCAGCCAAGGCTGGTGTGGGCAAATCCGGCCTGGAAGGTTCAGAGAACGTCGTTGTGATCTTTGGAACGATGCCTTCAGTGACAGACGATGTCCGCGCGGCATGGCCATTGGTCATTGCTTTCTCTCGCGCCTTCCAAGCGGTACGAAGATTATCCATCATGTCAAACATCTCTGATGCTGGAACTGCGTTTTCAATGGCATGCATAATGTACTTGATGCCTTGCTCGTCAATGGCCTTTTCCTTGTCGCTGCAGAATCGAACAAACTTCCAGCCTCCTTTTCGATGGATGGGAGCGTAGCCTTCCTCAATGATGGCTACATCCAGATCAGGATCGTAGCGAAACTCACCCACACGTCCATCGGGTGATGATACTTTCCACCTGCAAAGATACGCATTGAGAATGCAAACTTCATGAGGCGTGCCGCACATACTCTGCCGCCAGTTCAGAATCAAGCTGCAAGTGATCAAAGTACTTGCTTGTATTGCTCGTGGTCCGGATTCTGTAGGTCGGTTTTCGTTCCTTGCTCCATGTCACTGATATACGAAACTTGGCCACATGTGCATTGACCGACTTCCAATGGTATCTACGCGTCATGAGTAATGGCGGATCGAATTGACGAGCAAAGCGAGTAGTCTTACATTTTTGAACACATTCCGGGCCTATAAGGAAGTCTGACTGGCGTAAAGATGACACCGTCATTGTCATGATTAAGCTTGGGAATATCTTCCAAAAGTACTTTTCGAAATGCATACGATCGCTCCACCTTTTGTAGCTCCACGCTGTACCGCATGTCAACATCCGAAAAATGACTGCCTTTGCCACTAACCTGAATGGTGGCATCTTACTCTTGTCCGCTTTGCGAAGCCATGCATGATACGGATGAGCAACGTCTTGTTGCACCACCTAATCTATAATAAGACCAGACCACAAACGTAATCAATTGACTCACCCCTAGCCGTGTACTGAAGCTGCGCTTCGTCACCACGATCCCGTTAATCACCATCAAGTCCGAAACAAGGTACCGATACTTGCTCTACATGGAGCATTGAGTCACCTGTTTGCCCTACAATCCTTGCACTCACCTCTCCACCCTCTAAATCCATGACCAATTCACCATCCATCAACGTCTCATGGTGATACTTTTCGCGATTGGGTAACGGAAAAACGAGATGCGGGACATACCAGTACTCGTTTTTCGTATCCACCTACACATGTCCATTGTCAATACCTCAAACCGTACCGCCTACACGTTGCCAAAAACACTTGCCAGAAAGGTTGCCGGGCCTTTAGGCGAATGCACTGCAAACAAAAGATAGCGTTCGCCACTCCGCTCAAACAAAAAGTAGTCTTCTTCCGCAAGCGACGTCAAGTGCCGCCGTTCAAACAAGACCGGCTGCGATCCAGGAAAGCTAAACGCGAGTGAGTCACATGCCAAGAGGCTTTCCATCGCTTACCCGTCATGTCCCATCAACTCTCTGACTCGTGTTCGCAAGACTTGTTCGTACTCTGGGTCTACTCGTTTCGCAGTCTCTTGTATTATATCATGCTGATGAGGTGGATGAGGCAGATCAGAGACGCTGCCTGGCGCATGGTTGAGCGACATGACTCCACGGTAGAAAAGATTACTCTTTTAGGATGGTAGGGCAGACAAGGCCCATGGACTACGCGGCTTGGGATTAGATGCTCAATTCGGGATGTGGCTCACCATTTGCCATGCTCTTGCACCTAA